GAATACACGACACAAAAAAGATAGTCCAGAAAAAGACTCTGAAATAAGTTGCTTTGATAATTTCATAACTAAAAATGTAGAGAGACTGACAAAGAGTATCTGTTCCAAATATGTGTCAATGATCTCAATCAGGGGATCTACACTTGAACATTTAGCACAGTGATGAAGCGAAAAAAAAAACTATACTACCATATGAAGATAATTCGATCATCACAAAAATTATAGAGGCATGAATAAATCCTAGTTAGCTCCTTATACCTAACATACAAGCTTGGGAATAACTAGGTAAGCATGGTTTGATTCCAATGGTGTAATAATAAAACGGAGGATACAGTCTTAAGGTAAGTCAAAAAATACTAGATATATATCTAAACATTTAAAAGTTTGACGTTTGCTAAAAAATTTATCTCTAAAAAGCATGATCCAGTAATCATGCAAGAACTATAACAGCAGTTGCATTAAAATGTCTGAAGAGATCGAGAAACAACTAATTTCCATTTGAAACTGTATCAAACATATAATATAACATACGAGTATATATTTTAAAGGGAAAAGCATATTAAAATCTCCCAAGATTAAGGAATTTGACAATGATAATGGACAAAATTCATAAGATTAGATTAAGGAATGAATAAATTATAAGTGCATCCGGAGTAGACGACAATATTAGGTGAGCGAGATAATTACACATCGTTTTTGGTATGGTACTATAAGAGAAAATATACTATATTAATACGAGTAGAATTCAAAAGCAGATCTAACAGCCGTTGATTCTCAATCATGGAGAAACCCAAAGAACATATCTTGTCTTCTTATGTCTGTGCTCCTCTTAGTAATTGTTGAAAGTTCTGATATTGCGAAGCCATGTCATGGCTCTTTTACCTACTTCTCTTCAACCCTCTATCTTCCCTCCAATTGTTATTCGTAGCAGGTTACATTTATCATTTCTCATTATGTGGCCTAGGTAAGAGGTATTTCTTGTCTTTAATTGTTGTTTTAAGTTCTAACCCTTAGTTTTATTAACCCAGTCTGATACGATTTCCCTCTGTGACTGTTTTTTTTTATTATGGGATGTTATTTTTATGTCTTGGATATGTTCGATTCCTAATGTGTTGTGTTCATGATATTCTAAGCATTTTGCAATAAAGCCACATTTCAAAGGCTTCTAGCCATCTCATAGTATTTGATTTTAGTGTCTAGGCTTCAAGTCCAAACTGAAATACTGGCCAAACGTTTTATTCAAATCCATAATTCAGATGTCTAAGCTTAGGTTTCGGTTATGTATAATTTATTTCCATTTATTGTAGCGGGTTTCTCATTATATTTTGACCACCACTTAGTTTCCTTAATTTCGGGAATACAAAAAAAAACTATCAAATTAAAGTTGTATTATTTTATCTGTACCGACCAACAATGTAACAACAGACCAAATTTTGTATATAGGGAGTGCATAATGAAATGAATCTTCAATATTTTAAATGGGACACCCTGTATTTTTTTATATTTTTGAGTAGCCCTGCATTTCCTGATTACCAATACAACATTGTGTAACATAAGTTTTGTTCTATAATGGCATATGGTACTACAAAAGAGTAACCATAGGTGGCAATGCAACTGACATTTCAAAATGAAACAATTATTAATTTATTATAAACTGTCAATCCTTATATCGAAATGGGATATACTGCAGATGAAAAAGTAAATATATTCTCAATTGATGTAAAAAATAATAAAAACAAGCAAGCGACAAGAAGAGAATATAGGCTGATTTTTCCAGATCGACAATCTTCTTCTGCAAATACATTTTTATGTAATTATCGTCATGTCATAAATGAAAAGATGTTTGAACGGAAGTAACGTTCTATAATAGGAAATGATGCTGAATATCTTAATACTTTCCTTTACTTTGAAGGTCAAAATTAAATACTTAAATAATAGATTATATCCATAATAACATTTTTATTTTAGAAAATTCCGAAACTAGTCTAATCAATGCTACTAATGCATTAAAGAAAAGCCGTGTGACCATACAAGACATAGGGTTTTAACAAAGCACATTTATAAGCCATACAAAATATTAATCAAGCACAACTATAAGCCGTACAAAATATTACCCGTACAAAAACTTACCGATGTTCATAAGAGAAAGCATTTACAGTTCTGTCAAGACATGCTTACAAATTTAAACAACGATCCTAATTAGTTTTATACATTTATAATTAATATATACTTAATATATATTATAATTTTATGGACAGATGAATCAATTTTTTTCAACTTCACGCATTTCTAATAGAAGAAAAAGGTATTCGTGGGAGTAGAAAAATAATAGAAAAAGAAAAATTAAGCAAATAAAAAAGTCACGAAGAAAATCAATAAATGTGTGGTGCAGAATATTTCAAAACAAAATAGTTGGACCATTGTTTTATGATTATAAATTGACTGGGGAATCATATTTGGACACAGTCATTATAGAAGTTGATGAGTTATTAAATCAAAATTATACACATAATCAATTAAATAGTATGATATGGAAACAAGATGAAGCACCGCTACATAATGTCGTAGCCGTTCAAGAACATTTAAATAATCAATTTAACGTGTGGATCGACAATAAGGGTACGATTACATGGCCACCAAATAGTCCCGACTTAATACCATGTGATAGCTTTTTATGGGGGTTTTTAAAAGAAAAAGTGTATTTTGATTCAAATACAAATATTAACACTATCACGGCAAAAGTTCGTACGGAAATTAAAAATTTAAATGGTCATTATACACAATATCTGACACATTAGAAAATATTACTTGTGCGAAGTTAGACGAAGATATTACTTGTGCATTGATAACAATGTAGGGCACTTTGAGCATTTATTGTAATCTTAAATGTAGTATTGTATCTTAAATGTAGTATTGTAAGTTATTAATTTTGTTGACTTTCTAAATATAATTTTCCTAAATATATTTTTTTCTTATCTTAGTATAATACAGTAGTACCATACGCCATTATATAACAAAACTAATGCTACACTATGTTATATATTTGTAATCATGAAATGCAGGGCTCCTCAAAACTATAAAAAAATACAGGTGTCCCATTTAAAATATTGAAGATGCATTTTATTGGGCACTCCCTGTATACAAAATGTGGTCTGTTACTACACTGTTGGCCGGTACAGATAAAATATTACAACTTGTATTTGAAACTTTTTTTGTATAAGAGGAAATCTGAAATTAAGGAAAATAAGTGAGGAGTCACAATATAATGAGAAACCCTGTACATGTTCCTAGCCTGTTCTATTCGTGTTTTTATTTCTATATCAGGATTCCACTTGTCAACTAGTACTACTCCTAAGAATCTGTATTTGTGAAATTGTTCCAACTGAGTGTTATCGTACTTTTAATAGATAAAAAATAAGTTTACAAATGTATGAATTAATCTTTATACTTAATTTTTTTGTTTTAAGGCGTACTATAATATTAGATACGTGTATTTATAATTAATTCAACAAGTATATTATTGTTATTTTCATAATTTAAAAACGTTAGTTATCTGTAAAACTTGTATATTGCATGTAAGCAAAATGTGATAAAAATTATAATTGAAATTTTTTATAGGGTATACTACAGGGTTACGCAATTGAACTGTTACCAACTTCGCATCGATATATCTGGCAAATCGATAATGACAGCTACGTCAAAGTTGGCCTGATAACACTTCAGTATGTTTATAAGCCATCAAAAGAATTTGCAGTTAAGTTTTATACATAGAACAAAAGTTATTCGCAATGAAATTTAAACGTAATAGTGTGATTGCCTTATTTGGCTGGAAAATCACAACCAGCTATTGTTCGTCAGCTCAAACACCTCAAAGTGAATAAAATGTTTGTGTATCACACCATAACTCGTTATAATGATATTGGTAGCATTGCTAAACGTTATGGTGGTGGACGAAAAAAAAACAGCGACATCACCTGAAATGGTTCGGAAAGTGAAGGCTCGACTTAAGCGAAATCCACGTCGTAGTGGTAATCAAATGGCCAAATATCTGAAAATATCCCAGCGAAGCATGCAACGAATATTGAAAAAGGAGCTAAGATCAAGCCTTACAATTTCCAAAAAGCACACAAACTTACACCTAAGCAAAAAAAACATCTGCTTGAAAGAGCAAAGGAATTGTTACGCCTGCGCGAACGTGGCGAATTTCCGAATATAGTGTTCTCTGATGAGAAAAATTTCCCTATTGAGCAGTTCATAAACTCTCAAAATGATTGTGTTTACTTGACCGAACTCCCCTACGAAAGTTTGGGCTTACGAACGGCCACCCGAAGTAATTTCCCATCTCAAGTAATGGTATGGGCAGCTGTAACCGCCGGTGGACGCTCTCAAATCGTTTTTATTGAATCTGGTGTCAAAGTCAATGCAACTTATTATCGGGAAAATATTTTAATAACTGCTTTAGAGCCGTTTGCACCCAAATATTTCGGTTGTAGAGCATTCCAACAAGAGTCGGCACCGTCTCATACAGCTAGTGTGAACCAAGAATGGTTAAAAAAACCATGTTTTACACTTCATTTATCCACACAATGGTTTTCGAATTCGCCAGACGTAAATTCGATGGACTACTCCATCTGGTCCATTTTGGAAAGCAAGGTGAGGACTAAAAAATATGCCAGTATGGATGCGCTGAAGAAAGCAATTATACGTGAATGGGCCAAAATACCGGAAGATCACATTCGTGCACCATTCAACACGTTTTTTAATCGTTTGAAGGCCATAGTCAAGGCAAAAGGTGGCCACATCGAGTTTAAGTGAGTGGATTCTGAAATTTTGATTGTTTCACACATTTTTGTCACTTGAATCAATAAAAAATAATTTCACATAAAAAAAATATCGTCGTTTAAATAGGCAACAGTTCAATTGCGTAACCCTGTATAAAGAGATAGGGTTAGTTAAAATAAATTTAGATCCAAATATAATATAATTTTTTTAATACATACCTTCAGGTGCGTATCTGGAATATCGATATTCTGCCAGTTGTGGTTTCTTATAAAATTCTGTAAATTATTGAATATTGTATCTGCATATTGATTTAGAACTACTTTAATTTCGCTGCCTCTAAAACATAATATGTTAATTGACAATAATATTTAATATGTAGAATGTACAATAATTTTAAATATTTAGGGGATTTGAATGATACTGGAATAACGAACTTGAAAGACAAATGAAAGGAGGAACTAGATGAGAATAACTACCTACGCAAGAAAGCGAGAACATTGTTATATTGTTTTTATGGTTTTGTAAACGATAGTTTAATACAACGCAGCTTTCTATACTACTTAGCCCAGTTTGGTTTAAAAAGGTCGAAAAATGTTTGGTATATATCTGAAGCAAGACATAGGTGGGAGTTACTAGATGACGAATAGATAAAGAGATACTCCTATTTTTACCTTGCGTTTTTTTAACAATAATTTATGGTCACAATTTAATTTTTTGTCTCTAATTTTTTTTATATCAATAATATCTTTATTTTCCCGTTTTTTCAATTAAAATTGATAAATAATATACTATATATAATATATATTTTTTTATTCACAAAATAAAATGTTATTAACACATTTAGACATCGAGGAATTACCGTCTTTCAAATTTGTGCCAAATTTCCCCTTGATCGGTCAAATAGTTTTAAAGGTATTTAAATTGTTTATCCCCGAGACTAATTATTTAAACTATTGAACTTGCCCTATGAATGATGATATACACATTTAGTTTCATAGGATTCTTTAAGACTTAAACTATCTCAGAAATTAAATGCATATTGCGTTTTCATCGAAATTATTTACAAAATAAACGTTTTAAAAAGGGGTATGTTTTTTACTTATAAACAATTGTAATAACTTCTATATTTTTCAAGCTACATACTTGTACGTACAACCATTGGATAGCTGGTAAAAAAACTCACATTAAAAAATAAAAAACTTTCTATGACCAATAGGAACAAAGTTAGCAACTATTAGCCTCTCTCTCTCTCTCTCTCTCTCTCTCTCTCTCTCTCTCTCTCTCTCTCTCTCTCTCTCTCTCTCTTTTTCTCTCTCTCTCTCTCTCAATCAAATCAAATCATCTCTGATTTTACTCATTTTTTACTGTAGGTTTGTTGTTTTTTTTTAAATATGGACATTTCCAAACTCAAAATAATACCTATTGTCTACAGTATGTTATCTAAGTCTCTAGTGTTTATTTTGTTGGTTTGTACTCTATGTTTGTGTGCAACAACCATTATATGTAGATATTGGTGTGTTTGTCCAATATACAGGATATATAGTATTTGTTTAAGTTAGTGATATTACTAGTAATATTGCTAGTTTGTAGTTTGTATAGTTTGTGTTTGTTTTGGATTGGTATTGGAATTAGATTGATTTTTGATAATGCAACAAAGTCTTTTGTTAATTAGACGATTCTAAAATTTTGGTGAATAATTATTTCTGTATAGATATTTAAGATATCTTCTTTCATAAGTTATCGATGTAGACATATGCTTGAACTGGTAACTTCCATAAAATATTTGGGAGCAAATATTAACAGCCAGTGTAACCCAAGAAAAAGAAGTTCTATCAAAAATAGAACAAACTAGTAAAACACTTGTGAATATAAAAACGTTTCTTATAAAATAAGATCTTATCGCATGCGACGGGGATCCAATCAATTGTCATCTACAGTCAGTCATTAAATTTTTAAAATAATAAATTTTTTGATTATAATCCACGTAAATATAAAATAATATGATCTAGTGCACTTCTGTTAAACTATTTTTATGCATAGTACCCTATAACATCTCGTATGTAACTATTCGTTCATTAGTAATGAAAACACTGTGTAGTGCCCTTTTGGTAGTTGCTTGATAATACACTATTATTATTACTGTCATGACTTTTCTTTAATATATTTCAGTATATTTGTGGTATTTGTTCTACAAAGTGAGATGTAAAAAATAGATCCAACAAAAACCGCTTGTGTTGCTATATGGCATTATAAACCAAAAATTATATTTTTATATTGACCATTTCTACTTTATATTACCATTATATTGACCAAAAGGTTTCGAAGAAAAAGGGCGTAAACAGTAGGGTAATAAAGTAGTAATAAAATCGTCTAATGCAATACTAATAGAAATTAGATATTCGGTTTCGGTGAACCATAAAAATGATATACCATACCAAAATACCAGTAACTTTTGTTAAAAGCGGCCTTTATTTTTGATTATTTACCCAAAGTATGAAAAAAGTGTAAACTCAAAAAATGAGATATTTATTATTATATAATTAAGTCATATATAAAATATTAAAAATAAGAATGCAATGCCCGTGTAGGGGCCCTATAAATAATTAAGGCGGGAAATTAAAAATTCTTTCGTTTCGACTGCTACAATCGTCCGGAGAACTAAATAAAAATAAAATTAAAATCCGTAAAATAGTTTTGAAACACAATTCAGATTTCTGCTTTTAATCTGAGCCTTCCAAAAATTGCAAGGCAAACAGACGTTGATAAAAGATTTTAAAAGGGACATGGGCAATCTAAAATTTGTATTCCACGACATGTCTTCACAACTAAGCAGAAATCCTTAGCAAATTGTGTTTCTTGTACTCATATAGAGCAGATCCGAATAAAATGAAAAAGACAGCAAATATTTGATTTCACGCAAACAGCGCCTATGTATCTCTTAATACGTATTTCGACCTAATATGTCTCATCAGAACAGTTATTCATAGGTGTTCTCAACGTGAAAAATCAATATTTTCTGTCTTTTAAAAAGCAACATTAAAATGGCTTCAATACGGACGCAAAAGCGACATCTAATAATAAAATCCGTAAAATAATTTCGAAACACAATTCAGATTTCTGCTTATAATATGAGCCTTCTAAAAATTGCAAGGCAAACAGACGTTGATAAAAGATGTTAAAAGGGACATGGGGAATCTTAAATTTGTATTCCACGACATGTCTTTACAACTAAGCAGATTATTGAAGTATTGACGCCATTTTAATGTTGCTTCTTAAAAGACAGAAAATATTGATTTTTTACATTGAGAACACCTATGAATAACTGTTCTGATGAGACCTATTAGGTCGAAATACGTATCAAGAGGTACATAGGCGCTGTTTGCGTGAAATCAAATATTTGCTGTCTTTTTCATTTTATTCGGATCTGCTCTGTATGAGTACAAGAAACAGAATTCGCTAAGGATTTCTGCTTAATTGTAAAGACGTGTCGTGGAATGCAAATTTTAGATTCCCCATGTCTCTCTTAACATCTTTTATCAACGTCTGTTTGCCTTGCAATTTTTAGAAGGCTCAGATTATAAGCAGAAATCTGAATTGTGTTTCGAAACTATTTTACGGTTTTTATTATTAGATGTCGCTATTGCGTCCGTATTGAAGCCATTTTAATGTTGCTTCTTAAAAGACAGAAAATATTGATTTTTCACGTTGAGAACACCTATAAATAACTGTTCTGATGAGACCTATTAGGTCGAAATACGTATCAACAGATACATAGGCGCTGTTTGCGTGAAATCCAATATTTGCTGTCTTTTTCAAAAATAAAATTAATTCTAAAAAATTATTAAAAGTTTATAATGCCTAACAGTTTCTGAAGAAATGCAACATGAGTATCTCAGGTTCATATTTCTGAATCATCTGATTCAGAATCAGAGCCCATCTCGTCTTTTTCAGAATCACTGTTACTATCGACACCTACATTTATGATTATTTGATCCACCACGGTGTCAAAAGCTGACTGTTGTGCCATATAACTTTGTTCTATTTTTTAAACATGTTTACACCCCTTTTCCATTGTTTGTCTGAAAACGAATTAAAAAATTCATTACACAAACTTTCAACTACTTTAAAATCAAAACTAATATTTTTTTCAGCGACACATTGCTTCATAGAAGCCCATACCAACTCTATAGGATTCAAATCCGGATGATACGGGGATAACCGTAAAACTGAATGTCCTTTATCCTCCTCCATAGTTGGACATTTCTCAGTTTGTACGTTGTGATACGGTGCATTATCATTCACTAAAACGCTGTTCTGAGGCAAATTTGTTATCAGCTTATCCTAAAGCCACTTTTTGTAATTGTCGTAGTTCATTGTATCATGATAATCTCCTGTTTTTATAGTACCTAGGATTGTAGCGCAGATAAGCGTTTTTAACAAAACCTTATCTGTGCTTTAGATACTGGTTTTTGTAGGCCCTTGTTTGAACTATTAAACCAGCTTTTTTGGTAGGTATGAGATGAATGGACATATGTTTTATCCATATATATAATTGGGCGATTTGCCAATCGCTCGTATTGACCGTAACGTTTCATACTACGTAAGAAATGCAGTCTAAGATGTTGAATATTGGGCTTTTCCATTAATAATTTTCTATTAGTTCTGGTTTTTCGCCAACTAAATCCCATCTTTCTAATTACTGTTCGTAGGCTTTCTATGGAATCTGAGTAGTTGTACTCCTCTGAAAATGTGCTGTGTATGCGTTTTACAGTTGGCACTTGTTTTTGTGTTATACAAAAATTCACTATATAACATCGAAGACGCCCTACATCAAAATCGTCCAAGCACGCTTTTGAAGAGCTTTTTTTCCTCTTTATGTTTGCAGTTACAAATGAGGAACATTTGCCATCTTCAATAAATTGCATTTCCCGAGCAATTTTTTAAACGCTGCTTCAACTAACACCTGTTGTCAATACCACACGCTCCAGCACGTTTTTCAAATCTCTACACGGTTTGGCTTCCTTTCTCATAAAATTAATCACATTTGCTATCATTTCCCGTGTCTGATTATTTAAAAGTTTTCCCTTCAGATTCGATTTAAACTCCATGTTTAATATAGGTACACAATACAGATTTGGAAATTTGAAAATGACTCTCTTTGCGGTTCGTACTTTCGTACAAACGGTAGATATTAAGTGGGCGTGGTTATTTTCAGACTTTCAGCTATTTTTGTTGAACTTTACTTCGGAGCATAAGTCAACAAAAAGAACTGCTAAGCATATGAGTTACTCCGAATCATATTAGATCGTAAAGTACGGGACAAAATATTAATAGAAATACTCCAAAACTCATAACTGGAAGAGCTGGAGTTGGTTTCACCAACTTTGGTTGGTCTCGTTCGTTTTTAATCCGCATCTTTCTTTGGAAACTGCTACATGAAAATCTTTCATTCTTCCAAAGCCACATTTATCATTTGAATTCCCAACCTTCGAAAGTAGAATGCACAATAAAAAGAAAAAAAAAAATGAAAATATAGGTTTAAACTAGGCAAAATTGATATTAATTATAATCAGTTAATAAATAATATTTTGGATAACGAAATAATAAAACAAAATATGAGTCCTTGAAATGAGTAAAAATAAGTATAAAGAAGATTAAAATTAAAGGTGTATAGCATTTCACTGCCGGTGTTTTGTAATGATATATTATGTTGCGTGCTTATAGGTCATTGCCTGGAATTATTTCTTGTTGAAATTTTATCTGCGAGTGTGACAATACGACCATGATTGGAGTTCTTGTCAATTAACTGATTATTACCTATATAACCGCCATCGGCTAGAAGTGGAAGACGAAACATCAAAAAAACTAATTCCTGATCATGTTGTACAGGGTAGGAAAACCACGCTTCTATAATATTTGGATTGATCGAAAACATTAGAGATATTATTATCCAACGAATTAAAAACCTAGATTTTATAATAGATGAAACATAGTGCAAAGAAATATCCTTACCTAAGTATGACAAGATTGAGTACCTAATATTTTTAATGATAAACGCAAAATATTACAATTATTCTAGTTTTATTTGGTTATCAGTACTCTGATAAATATTGGATATCTAGAGCTAAAACTATTAAATGTAAATAAATTCTTTAGTTCAAAATGACAAAAACAAAATACACCAATATTGCTACAAAATTACAAAAAATTTTCGACGAAAGGGTTATTTTCAATTTAAAAAACAACGGATGGATTGAAAACACCTGTCGTGGAAAACAAAAATTGCAAATCAAGTAATAAAACAATTCACTGAGTAAACAAGAAAATGGCTAGAGAATAATAATAATAAATCGTCGTGATAGTACAAACACATCCAAAATGGGTGTACTTATCAATACTGAAAAACGGTGAGTTATAAACTAGAATTATATCAAATTATATCCCATTACAAATAGCTCTAAATATAAACACGATAATCAGTAAATACTAACCCTAAGATATCAGTTTCAGTTAAAAACTTCAGTCTAGTGATCAATTCCCTGGGGACGATATTATTATAATCAATGCTCTCTAAAGCTCTTGACACTACATCATGACTAGATGGAATTAATGGATTAGCTTCGCAAAGAGCGAATAAACAGATTATTCCACAAATTAAAACTTTCATTTTAACTCAGTTATTATAAGATTACTAAACTAATCTCAAAAATTTTCTTTTTTATACGTATCTCATTATTTTAAGTAGTGGGATATATTTTATATAAGTGTTGCAAAGATTTTGTACTTTGCACTGTGTATTTTAAAATCGCAGAATTGTATTGTATATAAATTATTTGGCAAGAAAAACACTACAAGAATATATATTTATTATTTTTTATAAAGACAAGGTTTTTATATTTCGGCAAAATATTTACAAAATATTTAGTTTTACATACAGCGGTATACCAACTAGGATATTAGAATAGGAAGAGTAATCACAAATTGCTAGAAATGTAGCTAAGAATTGTATGTATTGTTATCGATCTCATAATTAGACATAAAAAAAACAAATAAATACGCTTCCCTCCAAATACACTCTATGACTATTAATTTATAGCAATAAAAATATTAATAATATTAAATTAAGGAATTCTATACTAAACTGTAGAAAATGTAAGTAAATTCTACTCAAGCTAAGAAGAAATTCATGAGTTTTCGGGAAATCAACTTTTGAAGCCAGCTACTCATAACAACAATGGTGGATAGATTGTAGACATAATGAACAACTGTCAACACTACAGGAATATTCCTTATGAACCTTTCACCACTGAAAATGTCTAGAACATTATCAAATAGCTTCATAACAGGAAATCTCACGGACCAGACGAAGTTCAAAATTTCTGGCTAAAGAAGTTTTGGAGTGTATATGAGCTTTAAATAGTACTAATTAATCATATTTCTAATTCAAAAGAAATACCATTATTTGTTATTCCGGGTACCACTTATCTAATACCAAAGGACCAGAATAACACCCCAGATTATCTTCCAACTTTGTACAAATTAATCACATCCTGTGTAGCCCGCCGTATCTGTTGGTAACTGTTCAGTGGAAAACCGGGAATCTTGAGTTCTTCCAGTTACTTGTTTTTAAATATTATTTGGACTTCCCGTGGTTTTATTAAAGAACAAAAGACCGTACATGAAACTATTTAATTACTTCTATGTGACTGTTATATAAACTGTTTTTATAATATAAAAGAAAGAAAACTTAATTGTTTGTAATAACACAACTAAAATATTACAAATATAAATTAACACTACGTTGTTACATCTATGACTGGAAACCGAATAATAATGAATGAGGGTTGTTACAGGTAGGCTCCCAAAAGGTGGATACTTCTAAAAATAAATTCTAACGGTAATTTTTAATCTCCCTTAGTAATAAGTCGTTGCCAAACTAAGCTATGCCGTTTCAAAGACGACAGGACCGTCGTCAGATCTTTTAAAGTTTTAACATAAGCCGCCTCCTTTGAACGCCATAAGGGGGTTCAAAAATTCAAATGTACAAAGTCAGCAAGTCAATATTAAGCCGAAAGTTTATCTAAACACAAAAAAAAACTAAAGTTGATCTTCGTTCGGTAGCACACATAACTTCACAACCGGACGTTTGTATACGCCAGAGTTTGTTTTTAGCGTTACACTACGCACAATTCCATCACTGCCGGTATGGATGTCAGTCACTCTACCTAAGGCCCATCTAAGAGGTTCCAGTCCATCTTCTTTAACAAGTACTAGGGAACCGATCTTGAGAAGGGAACTGCATTGTTTCTTCCACTTGACACGTTGCTGAAGAGAAGAGACGTATTCTTTGGACCATCGTGTCCAATAGCATTGCACCATTTGCTGCACCCTTTGAAATCGGCTCAATCTGTTTTCCATAACATCTAACAGATTGCGGTCAGGAACTGATGTGAGAGGTGATCCAACCAGAAAATGTGCGGGTGTGAGAGGAAGTAGGTCTGAGGGGTCATTAGACATAGGAAAAAGAGGTCTGGAATTGAGAATTGCTTCAATTTGAATCAAAACAGTGGAAAACTCCTCATAGGAGAGAACCGTATTGCTAATTACTCGTTTAAGATGGTATTTTACTGATTTTACCCCAGCTTCCCAGATACCACCAAAGTGAGGTGAACGCGGTGGAATAAATTTCCAATCGATACCCTCAGAAGAGAGTGTGTCATGTAAGGCAGAATTGTTAGACTTGAGAAAGTTGGAAAGTTCATTGTTGGCACCTTTAAAGGTGCTCCCATTATCGGAAAGAATAGAAGCACATTTACCCCGTCGAGAAGTAAAACGTCTTAAAGCTGCTATAAAGCATTCCGTAGTCAGACTACTCACAACCTCTAAGTGTATAGCCTTTGTGGCCAGACAAATAAAAAGTGCTACATAACCCTTAATAGTCTTGTAGTTTCTCGTAAGACGGTCCTTTAAAAGAAAAGGTCCCGCATAATTAAGTCCCGAGTGGGTAAAGGGTCGTGAAGGAGTAAGACGTGAAGAAGGTAGATTACCCATTAAATAAGTTTCGAGTTTTGGAGCTGCCTTGAAACATGGGATGCAGTTTCTGACAACCTTTCTAACGACATAACGCCCATTGAGAGGCCAATATTTCTCTCGCAAGGAAGATAAAAGTAGCTGTGGACCAGCATGCTGTAATTTTATGTGTTCATGCCGTACAAGTATGTCTGTAAAATGATGTTTTTGTGGAAGTACAATGGGATGCTTTCTCTCGTATGAGATATCAGCGTTGTGAATTCTTCCACCAACTCGAATTATGTCATCTTGATCAAGAAAAGGATTCAGGGTGAGAAGTTTGCTTTTATGATCGACCTTGCCATGTTTTTTGAGATGTGTGAAATCATCAGAGAAAGGCTGATTTTGCACAATGCGAATTAGAATTTAGAACAGGCAATTTCGTCACATGTTAAATTGGTAAAGGTTATTTTTGGCATGGTTAGCCTGGATTTTTTGCAGAAACGTTATAAGTAGGCTACAATTCGTTGTAGTTTAGTCAAGGAAGAAATTTTGTAAATAATGTCGAGATTCATGCAAATTCTTGCAGATAGATTAGCAGAAGATCGAAGTTCAGGAATTTTAACCTGTTTGAAGGGTTGAGGAGGCCAGAAATTTTCAGACAATGAAAGCCATGGAGGGCCATGAAACCATATATCGGAATTTTGTAGTGCCGTGGGTGAAATACCACGTGACAATAAATCTGCAGGATTTTCGTGTGTGTTTACATATCTCCAGGAATTGGAATTAGTTAAGGATTGAACCTGTGAAATTCTGTTCGCAACGCAAGGTTTTAACAAGTTGGGAGGTGTATTGATCTATGCTAGAACGATGCTGGAATCACACCAACAAACTACTTCATCAAAATTAATTTGTAGTGATTGCTTTACTTTGTCCATCAATTCTGATAAGAGTAGGCCTCCACAAAGTTCAAGTCGGGGAACTGTAAGAATATGTTTCAAAGGAGCTACCCTGGTTTTGGCACAGAGTAAATGACAACTTATATTTCCCTGAGCATCTAACGAATGAATAAAAATACAGGCACCATATGCTGCAGTAGACGCATCGGAAAATCCATGTAATTGTATGGATGTAAAATTGGAAACGGTATTATATCGAGGGAATTGTAATTTATTAAGGTTGACTAATTGGGATTGATAATTTGTCCATTTTGTATGAATATCCATGGGTACAACTTCATCCCAGGAAATTTTTAGACGCCATAAGTCTTGTAGAATGATCTTAGCGGTTATTGTAACCGCTGCTAAGAGACCAAGAGGATCAAATATATTTGAAATTGCTGAAAGAATGTATCTCTTAGTAATCTTAGAATTGTTTGTAGTAGGTTGAACATTAAAGAAGAAAACATCTAATTTAGGATTCCAAAGCAGACCTAATGTTTTGACAGTTTCATCGGAACCTATGTCCAAAGGAGTGTTGTCTATATCATCGATTTTTAATTCGGTTGAGTTTGATTTCCATTTACTTAAATGAAAGCCATGTTTTGAAAGTAATTCAGTGATTAAAGATTGAATATGTTTAAGTTCGTCTAAGGTGGAAGCACCGGTATGGAGATCGTCCACGTAAAAATCGCGTAAAATTATAGACGAAATATCAGGAAATTTGTCAGAGTAAATGTGAGCTACTTCTTGCACACATCGCGTTGCTAAAAAGCTGGCAGAAGCAGTGCCGTAAGTTACAGTATTTAAAGTATAAGTCTCAATAGATGAATTTGGATCAGATCGCCACAATATTTTTTGTAAACAACGCTGATTTTCTTTTATAAGAATCTGTCGATACATTTTAACGATATCAGCAGTTAAAGCAAATTTGTGTTTTCGAAAACGTAAAATAATAGTGAAAAGATCGTCTTGTAGTGTAGGACCTACCATTAGTATATCGTTTAACGAAAAGCCAGTGTCAGATTTAGCAGATCCGTCAAATACGACACGGATCTTGTTGCCCTTGTAAACGCAATGATGAGGGAGAAAGAAGTCTGGATGAGATACCAAATTTGAAGAAAGTTTAGTCATATGATTCAATGATGAGTATTCACTGATAAATTGAGTATAATCTCTTTTTAAAGTTAGGTTAGAGTTTAATTTCTTTTCCAGAGAGAAAAAACGTTTGGTAGCTGAAATCTCTGAATTGCCAAGATTAGATAGAGGTAACTTTAAAGGAAGAGAGACAATGAATCTGCCTGTAGAATCAAAGGAAGTAGTTTCTTTAAAGTGTTTCTCACATTGAAGTTCTTCTTCAGAAAAGAACTTGCTTTTTGGAAATTCTTCAAGCTCCCAGAATTTCTGTAACTGATTTTCGAAATTTTTGTTTCTAGAAAAGTGACAATTTGTTTTGTTATGAGAAAGAAGAGGTATAGGACCGGAGACAATCCAGCCAAGCTTAGTTTTGTGTAAAGTGGGTTGACCATGTGATAGTTTAATTTGACCAACGCATAAAAGATCCCAAAATGTGTCTGCACCAATTAAAATGTCTATATGAGACGAAACGTTAAAGTGTGGATCGGCGAGTGTAACATTAGAGGGAATGTTTAGAGATTCTCTGTTTAGTGTGACAGAAGGCAGTCTACCAGTTATATCAGGCATTACTAAACAAGAAATTGTGCGTGTAAAGTTGATTGTATT